CCCAGACCTTTAACTTCAATACATAAATTTTCTACCCTTTACCCATAAAATGCAATAAAGATTTTAAGTACTATACACATTCACTAGTAATCCTTACAACACTCTACAGTCTTACTAAAAAGAGTTCAAAAACTGAGGAATTAGAGAATCTAGTTGATAAAAACAGTACTGTCAGCATATTCAGATTCTGGATACCTTACTTCTAATACTTGTTATGTTATGGCTAGAGCAATTTCTTTAAGGTAATTTTCAATTATTGATCACTTACTTCTGAATAGTTAAATAACTCAAATGACTTTCAGCTTGATTTACCTAAAGCAGCATGTCATTTCTTTTTCAAATACTTTCATTTATTTTACCAATTGTTACCAACTTTCCACATGCCAGATATTGTTTCAGACGCTAAAGTACAGCAATGAATAGAACAGACAAAAATCAATGCCTTCTAGGAGTTTATACCCTAGTGGAATAGGGAAATGTATTGAAACATTATTTCAAGTGGTGACAAATTTTATAGAGAAAAATAAAGCAGGAAAGTGCTTTCTTTATAGGGATTGCAACAAGAGGAATTTATAGGTAGGTTGCAATTTAGAGTTTTAAAATCCCATGCAGTCCTTAGGAAATTAATATTTGTTTATTCAAGTACTCAAACATATCAGATCCTTCTGATAGAATCATTTCAGTGGCAAACTGTATGTACACCCCCAAAATATATAATTGTAATTAGAACAATGTGAAATATGCTATCATTTTATAAACTCACATAAAATCTTGGTAACATACAAACATTCTATACTTCTCTTAAGTGGTAGTATACACACTTCACTCAAGTCAATGGCTTATGTTAGTGAGCTACTTTATCTCTCTAAGCCAGAGTTTTCATTTTTAAATCAGAGAAAATAATAATGTCTATAAATGATAGAACTGTCATTATTTTCTCTGTAGCATTTAAGAGAAAATACAAAGGGTAGGCACACAGGATATTATACTCAGAAGTTAACTGTGACTGTACTAGACTTTGCATTGCTAACTGCAGCATTCAAAACGCTTCAGGAAAACCTAATCATTACCTATTAATTGACTCTGCAGCCAACATGCGAACTTGGTGATGTTCATCAGCAAGAAATTGTGGAAATACTTCATTTACAGAGAAGTCTTTTCCCATTACATTAAGAATAGCCCATTTTGAATAAGGATCAGCCTATTCAAGTGGGAAGAGAGAAACTAAGGTTAAATATGAAACATTAAAGAGAAAAATCACTAACAGAAATGAAGTCTGGGGCTGGGACTGTCGCTCAGTGGCAGAGCACTTGCCTAGCACGTGTGAGGCATGGGTTCAATCCTTAGCACCACATAAAAATAAAAACAAATAAAGCCATTCTTAAAAAAAAAAAAAAAAAAGGAAAAGCCATTCTACCCATCTATAACTACAAAAAATTTTAAAAAAGGAAATGAAGTCTGATTTAAAATTTTAATGGTGATCTTACTAATAATATGAAATAGCTCACCTCAAGCAGAGTTTTAAGGCACTTCACAAGTGCCATCCTTACAGAGAATGTACACTTCTTTTCCTTTGTTAGATGCCTAAAAAAAAGTAAAATTTTCCATGTCAAATAACCATTTCAATAAAAGCAGTCAGAAAAATCACTAGATATTAAGGTTATTATAGGTCACTTCCAAAATTTCTTTCTTTGCTACTTAATTCTCATTACATGGAACATGCTAAAGTACTTGCCTTTCCAAAAATTCTAGCTAAAAAAAATCAGTTTGAAAGTGAATTTGTTTTAGTGTATATTATTTGTCTTATACAATTATGCCTCAATTTGGAGCTATCACACTTGAGTTAACCACATTATAAACTTTATAAACAGTTTTTTTATAAACAGTTTTTAAAATTTCATTTTTGATTTTTATATCAGAGATTTCAAAACCATATTCTACAATAATTAGGAAGTCCTTATTAAATAGTCTGAGGGCGTTAAGTTATATATATGTGCTCTTCTATAAATTTCATGATGTTATATCAGACCATTACAATATGCATGAAATAACCAGTTGACAAGGCAAATTGCTACACTTCGGGAAAATGAACAATTCAGTTCATTTAAGTTCACTGCATTTTCTTTATTCACCAAACACATCAGTCTATTAAATGATTCTAAATTTGCAGAGAAATATGCTCAATGTTTAGAAAGTCAAGTTTTATGAAGAAAAAAAAATGTTCTTTAAGAAATTAAGGGGGTAAACACAAATTACATTCTTTTTTATTAAAAGATGAACATAATCACAGAGAATCAGAAGACATCACTAATATAGAAATGCTAAGTTTGAATTTGAATCCAGAGGAAGCAAAAGAAAATCAACAAATCTACAAAACAGATTGCACCTACCAAAATGCTCCAATCACTCTAAGGAACTGTCCTTGGGCATCCCTTGTGTGCTCAGTGTCCATATTGCCTTGACTTAGGTTTGTCACAATAGGAAGGACATGGTTTAAAATTGTTTTACAAACATCTTGGTCACGACGATGCAAAGAACACACACTGCTGTGGTGGAAAAAAAGAATTACTTTTATAAGTTTAGCAGAAGCCAATAAATTTAAGGTGGACATAACATGTGGTTTTAATTTCTTACGATAGTGGCTTCAGAAGTTCAACAACATCTTCCATTGGCAAAGGATGTTCTTTTCCAGGAAGTTCCTTTAAAAGCACTAGATACTAAAATGGTATAGGGGAAAAAATAGCTTTTTTATCATCTTTAAAAAGCATAAATATACACACATACACACAGTTTAAATATAAATTCATTTGCACATGTACACATGCAAAGCTGTAAATATTTTTAATAGGGCATATAAGAAAAAAGGGTTCAAATAGGGTTCTCTTATCAAATAGGGTTCAAATTCATGGTGTATGTATATATGTAACTAACACAGTAAATCAAATTACTCTGTAGAACTCAAGATGAAAAAAACTAAAAACATATAAATCCCAGACAACAAGATTAATTTGTATATTATAAAACCTGGCTTTATATTCGGGGGCCCTTGAACCCTCACCCACAAAATGGACACATATTACTTAAACAGCCAGACAACTGTGAGGATTAGAGAAAATAACCATAAAGGTGTGGCCTTTATACTGAGAATTCAATAATTAATCATTATTATCATTGTTGCAATTAAGATATTAAAGCCATAAGACATAATATAAACTGAAACTATATTATGTTCCTATACTTCCAAAATAATGGTTGGTGTAAGAGTAAAATGGTTAAAAACTATTCAATTAATAAATTTTGGAAAGCAGAGATAATTATGTACAGGAAAGAAGTACCCTGATCTACCTTCCTATATGGCAACCATGTATGGGTCTACATGGTAGCATGGATACAAAGGGCTAAGTAACAACTACTAGTTAGAATGGCAGTGATGAAACCAAGCACAGTAGTATACACCTGTAATCACAGTTATGTAGGATGCTAAGAGAGCAGTATCTCAAATTCAAAACCAGGCTCAGCAACTTAGGCCCTAAGCAACTTAGGTAGACTCAAAATAGAAAATAAAAAGCTGGGGATATAGCTCAGTTGCAAAGCACTTCTGGGTTCAATCCTCAGTACCAAAGGACTGATAGTGATAACTAGGCAACCAGTTTTTGAGAGCTGCCAAATATTTCCTACATACACTAGAAAAATCTTAAGAGATTTTTTTCTCTCTATCATCTGTATATAGAAAAATATTTCTTATCTCTTGGCAGATATTAACAAAGAAAATTAAATGATCCTTTTCTTTTTAATTTTCTGGTGGTACTAGTATTTAACCAAGGGGTACTCTACCACCAAGGTACATTTCCAGCCCATTTTTTAAAAAATTGAGACAAGGTCTTGGTAAATTGACCAAGTTAGCCTTGAAATTGGATCCTCCTGCCTCAGCCTCCCAAGCAGCTGGGATTACAGGTATGCATGCAGTACCATACTGGCCCTTTTCAATATTTAAATGAGAGTTGCATGTGATGGTACTATCTTGAAATGACTTTAAACATCAAAGCGTCAAGAAAAGCATGTAACCCTTTCCTTGGTCAAGGTTAGAGACTTGACTAGGGAGTCTGGCAGGGTCAAACCAGGGACTCCAACAAGACACAACCAAACCTGTTTGCTAGGGCTAGAGGTTCAATGTGCATGTTCATTAAGGATAAGAACATAGTCAAGATTCCATCAGGGACTCAATATGCATGTCTGACATAATGAGGGACTCATCAGGTGTGTCAAACTTACAATAACTGAAGACATAACCTGGGGACCCAACCAGCAGCTTCTCTGTGTCAAGGGTTCTACCCAAATGTTCACAAAAACTGGGTTTAAGAAAATAGTACACATGGTCAGGAAATTAGTTACAAATAAGGTTACTCAGTAAACTACTAAATGTATATGGAAAGCCAGGACTTTTTACTGCCAGAAAAGGGTACTACAAATTTGGAAAGAGAAAAATAAACAAACCCTATAATGATGAACTAGAATACAGAGATCCATCAATAGTATCAGGTCAAAGGTAAAATGCAAACTTCAAACATAATGTTATGTGCTATTTTTACAGTCAGCTTCAGATTCATTTAAGTTTTCAAAGGCACTATATGATTCTTACACGTCAGGTTACTGTATTAGTCAGCAATACCAGATTGAACTGAAGAGCTTCTTTGTACTACTCGACTTACCATGTGGAGATGAAGAGATTTAGTAGGATCTAGTATGCTAGAATCAATTAGCATTAACAATTTTCTCCTTATATCACCTGCTCTAAATGATACAGGATTGGCTTGAGACGAGGTTACACACATACACAAGAACTTGAGCATGTCTAAAAGAAGTAGATCTTGCTTTGACAGATATTCTTCAGCTAACGGATTCATGGCACCTAAAAAACCAAAAAGCAAACAAAATTCCTTCACTCTAAGAGGCACAGTAGTCACATACTTTGATACTAATTCAAACATCTCTCCAACTTCCCAGTGTGCAAATAATTTAATGTGGAATTTTACTTCTTTATTTTAAATTCTTCCCATGAAGAACAAAATAGGAAAATAATAAATACAACTAAAATCAGAAAAACCGAAAAGTATACAGTAAAGGAACAATCTTAACAGACTCAAAGAAAAAATAAAAGCATAAAGTTGATATCAGTGAGACCTTTTCTAATGCCAAATTATTATAAAGAGGTAAAAGAAACCCAAAGCAGTAAAGATATATTTACCAACAGTACTTTGGCTCTCCCCAGAATCACTTGCATCACTCACACTACCAACAGGGTAATCTTTAAAAAGATCCATGGAAGACAAATCCTCTACCTCCTGTAAATTTTCATCAATATCATCATTCATTGAGTCTACTTCTCCATAGTCAAGTGGCTTTCTGATAAAGGATGCCTTCAAAAAAGAGAAATAAAGATATTCAAGTTGGCTTCTTTCAGAATCATGGTGTAGTTAAAATTCACCCGATTGAAAATTCACAGGAAAATGGGTATACAAACTATGTCTAGATAATAGAATAATACACAAATGTTTAAAATAATTTATTACATTAAGAAGTCCTACAATTCCATTGTATTTGAATACCATATCACCACTTTGTACCCCATAAATAACTATAACTAAAATTTAAATACATAAAAATGAAATTTAAAGAAGTTTTATGTAATTCCCCAAATTAATGGGGATATGGGAAAAAAACATAAACTGTTACGATTTTTGGAGGACAATGACAACATCCTTCAAAAAGTAATTCAGTCAGGCCAGCAGCCTGGGAGGCTAAGATAGGAGGATCGAGAGTTCAAAGACAGCCTCAGGAACTGTGAGGCATTAAACAACTCAGTGAGACACTGTCTCTAAATAAAATACAGAATAGGGGGGATACCAAGATGGTGGGCCAGAGGGAGGCAGCATTCTGTGTCGCTCTGTGACCCAGATTTCACCCACTCTGAATACTGCATCTCAGAGAGTGTAAGAGGACCCCTATTTAGCTGATTTCCACACTAATCACCAGTGCTGTGACCCCCAGTGAAGGGCTCAGAGCCTCAGCATTTGA